TTTTTTTAAAGCATTCCAGATTGGAGCTGTACTCAATTCTGAGATCTCCCTTTTAAAGCAAATCCACTGCAGTTTCCAAATGCTTGAAAGCATCAATAGGGTCTTCAGCTATGAGGGTCTGAAGGGCGATCCTCCCTTGTCTGTGGTTCCCTTCAGTTTCTCTTACAGGCGATCAGCCTTTTCTTTCTCTTCCATCCCCTCTCTCACAAATGAACTTGAAGATCCGGCTCCAAGAGGTGAGAGGCTAGACTCTCCCCTTCGGAATGCTTTTTTTTTTTTTTCTTTTTTTTTAAATACGTTTCCATGGCATAGGCCACAATTCAGCTTTTTGACAAAGGAGGAGAGTCATAAAACCTAAAGCCTTTCCTGTCTCCCATTCCAGGACCCCAACAGAGGTCTCTGAGGCCTGCCCCTTTCCTCCCAGTTAGAGCTGCTGGGTCCAGGCACCGGTCGCCAGCACGCCCGATGTCTGGCCCGCCCCGCTGTCCCGCCGGGCCCAGGAGAGCGCCGCCTCCTGCGGGTCTCTGGGCAGTGCCTCCTTCTCTGGGGCTTCCCCCTCCTCCCTTTCCTGTCGGCCTGGCTGCCAGGTAGCAATGGCACCAAGCCCTCTAGGTGAGGCTGTTTGCTACTCTCGCAGTTTCCTCTCCCTCTGGTGAGATTCCTGTGAGCCCCTTTCATTAAAAACACAGGAAGAGCCCAAACAGGTACCAGGCACAGCGGAGTAGGGCTGAGCACGGGCAGCCAATGAGATCTCGAGCGGGGCAGGGGCCGCTCCAATTGGTCGGCAGTCCGAGAGCAACCAATGGGAAGTGTAGAAAGGCGGGGGGGGGGCGGAGCTCTCACCTGCCTTTGGTGCAGACCCCAGGGGAGGCTCTTTCTGGCTCAGAGCCATTCTTCCTGAGGAGCTCATGCCACAAATGGCAATCAGGCGGCGGGCTAATTCGCGGCCGCATGATTTAATATTGTGGTCCATCCACTCGGCCCGGTTTGCTCTGGAAAGTTGACTGAGTAACAGCCAGACTCCTAGCAGGTGGAACAAGAACAGGCGAGGCATCCTGAACCTGGTCTCTTCAGCTGTGGGCCTTTCAGCCTTGCTCTAGGTACTGAGCTGTTGCCTACTGACCTGTGCCTGTGCACCTATCCTGGGCTTTGCTTTCCCTACCTGTCCCATCCAGGCTTTTATATCCCTTGGGCTATCACTCAGCTCTTAAGTGGGTGACCCCAGCTCCACCCCTTTCCCACCCACCTCCACAGAATTTTCTCTCTGGGCCCTTGTTCTCCACCTTTTCTCCATTTGCCCATCCTTCTGTCCTTGGCCCTTTTAC